ATATACCTGTATCTGTATATCTCATTACTCTCTCACATATAGTTTCTTTTATTAGTCTGAAATAAATTTTACAATTAATGGACTATTACTGATATATTAATAAATATTATAGTTTATATTTCTATGAATTTTGAAAAATTGATACTGCCATATGTACACCATTACAATATACAGAATTCACCATTCCCAACCCCCTTGTATTTCACATATTCTTCTCCCCAGAGCCCTGGTAATCAGTTTGTAATTTTACAACCCCTTTTCTCTCCCTTTCTCCTTCCCTTCCCCGCCGCCCCGTATTTGTTTGTCTGCCTGTCTTATGTTTTACCATGTGTGAAGAACTTTCCGTCTACTTTTAAAAAGTTTGTTGCAACATGTTTTATGGATCATGGAATTAAGTGGTCATTAAACTATGCTTTTTGCCCGTCTTAGATTTACTATTTCTGGTAATAAAAAAAATTTAAATGGTTTTCTAGGTATAAGTTAGTGCTTATTATTTTTTACTTGGTATGTTTACTTAATAATAATAATAAATATTATTATTTTATTTTATTATTTTTTTGAGTGTGTACCATCAAATTGCATCCAACTGGTACAGGACGAGATTGCCCCTCTTTCACCAGCAAAGCATCTGGTGGATTCAAACTGCATGCCTCTGGGATTGCAGTACAGCTTTTTGCCACTAGGCCACCAGAGCTATTATCATTAATTTTAATGAAAATTTACAGAGACTTTGGATTTCCATTCATTCATTGTTGGACTTTCCTCCATGCCCCCCCTCCCCCCCAGTTCTCTTTTCTTTTGAAAAGTAAATTTTTTTTCATTGTTATACAATTTTTAAAAGAAGTTATTAAATATAATTGTTCTTAGGATGCAGTCACTAAATATTTGTGTTAGGTGCTATTGAGTTAACTGTGATTCATAGAGACCCTATGAACAACTCCCCTGCACCATTCTAAGATCTCTGCCAGACTGCATTCCATCACTGCAAACCATTGTGGCAATCCGTTTTGTGGCAATCCTCTCCTTTGTTGATTCTTCACTTTTCTAAACATAGTGTCCTCTTCCAAGGAGTGACACCTCTTGACAACATGCCCATACACTGAAGCCTATTGAAAGTATATTGAAAACTTAGTTTGCGCTGTTGTTGTTATGTTGTGGAGTTAGAGCCACCTCGTAGCTGACCCTCCAACAGATTTTCAAAGTTTTTAAATCATGCATCACACAGAAGGAAATTGCCCATATTTTTCCTGTGGAATACCCGGTGAATTTGAACTGTATGCCTTTGAGTTGACAGTGCAACTCCTTACTGCTGGGCCACCAGAGCTTCCCTTTAGCTTGTGCTAAAGACATAGCATTTACTTTTATACCTAGAAGTATCCATAGCTGTATAAGTATCTGGAATTTTCTGTCACTTAAAATAATTAAATAAAGCATCTTTCCTCCTTCTCTATCTCGCTCACTTTTCATTTTTCACCAGTGAACAACTCTGCGCTTTTTGTTACTGTGGTGGAAAAAGTTCCTTAGGACAAGGAGATTTAAAACAGTTCAGAGTAACACCTGGATTTATCTTGCCATGGAAAAACCAATCTCCTAGCAAGAAAGATACTGATGACAACAGCAATGGAACCTGTGATCAAACGCAAAATTCAGCACCACGAAAACAAAGAGGACAGAGAAAGTAAGCAGTTTTGAATTTAAATTGTATAAAAATAAGGCTATATGCATTTTTTTTAATAATACTGCTTATAACTGATGTTACCATTAATAAGTTTTTTTATATTTTCAGCATAAATAGGATATTTATAAGTTAACATTACCTCAACAAAAAGCACTCATTTCCACAAAATACTTACTGTATTTAAAAAAGGTTTTAGGTTTTAAAAAATTGTTTATTAGCCAAGTTAGTGTGTATAACTTTTGGAAGAAAAGTTTAAATATAATGTCATATATTGTGATGTAATGCATATAATGTAAAAGGAGAGTAATAGAGGTTATTAACTCTTAAGTGGAAAGAAGAAAAAAAATGGGATTCAAGAAGTTCTTTTCATCTTAATAAATATTTACTTGTGACTCAGAGCAAAACTAGAACTACTTTAAATTCTACTTTCATCCTTTATGTGTGCTTTTTATTAATGAATGGTTGAAATAATGATGACTAGTACTACAAAATCTTATAATACGGTGTTAATTTTCTTCTTTTTAGGTTATTATATGTTAAGAATACCCTTTCTAAAGTTACAGAAGATGCTTTTATTTGGAAAATAATGCATTAATTTCCTAACTATATTTACATAACCATTGTTTGTGTGTGTATTCATGTAAAAGTACCGAAAACTCTTATCTAATATATTGCTTTCTGAACATAGAAAACAATCATTTTATAATATGGTTTGTTGTGTAAGGATCATAAGAATCTGTAGGATCGGCTCTGTTTTTTGTTGAAATAAGATTTTATGTAATCAGTTTGAAAGTGTAAAAATTAGTTTAGCTTGAAGGCAAACCATCTTTACCCCTTGAGGGTGATGATGTAATCATCCAAGTGCTTATCTGGCTTGTATCCAAATTTAAATATTGAAGCATTGTTGTTGTGTTGGATTTATTTGATTGGCTCCTTGTTTTGGATTGCTGCCAAAGCTGTGAAGACCTGAATTGAGAAAAGAAACAATAACAAGAAGGAGAACTCTTTTAAAAAAGAATTTAAGGTGGAACATTTTAAGGAAGCATAGAATGTTGATATTTTGGAAACTGTAGGAGCGTAGGGTCCAGAGTACTTAGCACAGTGAGCCGGCTAACCAAAAAGTAAGCCAGTTTTAACCCACCAGCTGGTTCTCAGGAAAAGCAGGGCAGTCTCCTCTAAAGATGTATAACCTTAGAAAATGCATGACCTGCACTGTGAGTCAGGGTGAACTTGATGGCAGCGTGTGTGATTTTAATAGGTAGATCAGAACTCTATCTTTTGCTATCATTTGAGTGCTTACAGTGTAATAAAATATATCAAATGCGAGCAGACTTAAAAATGTCCATGAAGAATTAGCAAATTTAATGGATTTCTTGATCTTAAATTAATGACATATATATGTAATGGGAAATTTTATATTATATATATAATAATGAGAAATACAGTTGGGCTTTGTTTGCTTTCTTATTTTATAAGCTGTTAATATTTAGTGATAGTTTTTATGGGCTAAGATAATTATATAAACATAGCTTTGCTTTAATGAAAGTATACACACTTAGTGTTTACCAAGTTTTTAAATAATAATGGCCACTTAATGGGACTTAAGAATGAAGCACATTTACCAAATATTGGAACTCATTGAGTTGTGAACATTAGCTTGATAATTATTCCAAAATATGTTATTAATAAATTATAAATGAGATAGTCCGTTGTGTGGTTTTTTTTCCTGATATTGAAAATGAGATTTTAAAAATAGCTTTCCTCTTAAGGTATAATAATTTTGAGAAAGTGCAATCCTTTCTTTTCTCTTTACTTTTATTCCATAACTTAAAATTTGGGACATTTATATTTCATCTTAACTGGGCTGCTTTCATCTTAGGACTGACATTTATGTCTTAATTATATGAATAAATACAAATTAGTCTGAATGGTGAATTTGATCAAGTTGCAGATTAGAAACTGTTTAGTACTACACGGGTTAGTCATTCCATTGATATTTTTACCTTGAATCTCTTCAAATACTGATGCAGAGAAAACATGTTCAAATTTAGCTTTCAAAAATGGAGTGTTAGTCTTCCCCCACCCCATAAAGTAACAAAGCTTAGTAATAAAGATTATAAGGATGGAGGTCATGGAACAGGAAAACATTTGGTCTCATTTTACGGTGGGCATTAGTGAGAACTAAAAGTTAGCATAGCATGTTAAACCTTTTTTAAAATGATAAGTGCATTTCTAATGCTGAATATAAAATAATTACTTATTTTTATATAGTTTGATATTTAAATGTACTTATTAAAATATGTTAATACTTCTTTTCTTTCAATGATTCCAGGTATAAAAAGTTTAATACCCTGGTCATTGTGCTGATTTTCTCTTAATAGGAATCATGATAAATATCCACCATACAGAAGTGCAGTGAGTTATGATCTATATTCAATAGTGATTTTATCCAGAATTATGATGAGGTTAAATACTATAATGTCAGGAGAAGATTAAGGTTTTAGTTACAGTCATCTGATTTCCCATATATGATATTAAACACAATAGTACTCATTATTTACTTCATGATCTCAAATAATACTTCATGGCTTAGGGTCTTGAAATTCTGAAATCTCCCATTTGTTTTATACCTTATTCAGCATCTGTTTTTAGAATATAGTTTTTGCTGTTATGTTGTCTTAGTTCTTATGCCATTGGTTGTATTTTGGTTTTACGTGAAGTAAAGTCTTGAGGGTCCGTGTAATGTCGTGTCACAGAGTAGCTGTTGAAACGTGTCACAGGAAACATAAACAAGCTATGCTAACATGTTTTACCCCTTTCCTTCTCTCTTCTCATTTTGTAATGGATTTTCATTTCCCTGAGGAAGTAATCTTTCTTTACCTAAAATTAGCTGCAACTCTGTAGCTATAGTCCTCTTTTAAGATGAATCAAGTTAAAACTTTCTGATTTGATCACCTTACATATTGCAAACATTTAAGTAAGGCCAAAGGATCTGTTCATTTTATATGATTCAGTGGTTCCTGACTAGAATATGAGAATGTGAAGGTTTTTAAAAATTTGTATTATGGAATGGCAAATAAGTTTACAGTTCTAACTTTTAACACTTCCTTATGGATTTTGAGATAAAATTTTTGCCCCCTAGTTGTTTATAACATAACATAACATCAATTTTATATCAGTTTAACATTATAACATCAATTTTTGCCTAATAAGTGAAAATTTTTGCAGCAATACATTGTTTAATGTTTAGCTTTTTATAGGAGAAAGTGCTTTCCTACTTGCTGTCACTGCCACATCTGCATTTTTCCTTCTGTTTTTTCAGAGAACGATCCCCACAGGGTGTGATGTCACATGTAAGCGTGAGCACACAGACTGCTTCAGACGATCAGGCTGGCAAATTGTGGGATGAACTCAGTTTGGTTGGCCTTCCAGATGCCATAGATGTCCAGGCCTTATTTGATTCTACAGGTAGGATTATTAAGTAGGTTTTCAATAACAGTTTTTCTCTTGACTTTGCAAGTATTTTTTAGTTTCACTGAATGATCAACTTAAGTAATAAAAACCTTTCATCTACAAATAATGAACACATTTTTAAGATGTCATTAAATATGTTGGTCTTTCTATTAGTCAAAATCAACTCTAAGGCAGGCTAACAACAGCACCTTTATAAATATTTATATTTAATTTTTGTAAACTGTAGTGCCATGATCTGAAAATGGCTATTTTTTGAATCAATAGTATTTTATACTGTTTATTTATACTATTTTATTTACCAAATTCAAATACATTGTTTTCTAGAACAGATTCTTCTTATTTCTCTCACCCTCCCACCCATCAAATTGTACAATTATATGATTGATGCCCCCTCCCCCCTGCACATTCTCATCCCTCTTCTTCAACCCCCTCCAACCTCCTTTGGATCCTTATACTAATTCTACAATAATGATAATGTCAAAGTCAAGGACACAGATCTTGGCAATGTAAGTATTTAAACAGTGTGGTAACTCTTGCCTGTGGCATGATGCTTAAGGAAATTTCATCCTGCAGAACTGCAGACTGATAATGACTAAGTACTGTATGGTTGAAAATTGAACCATAGACTGAACTGTTACTCACTAAGGGTTTGTGCTCTCACTGTAGAGGAGCGTGTATATTTGCGATATATTTCCATTGTATCTACAAAGTGTTAAGTAGTTTCCTGTCTGTTTTATGGTTTTTTTATTGTTGTTAATTGCTTTAGAGTTGAATACGACTCATAGCACCAAAGAACTAAAAGCCCGAGGCCCTTCTATAACTATTGACATTTACCAAAATTCATAGTTTCCGGAGGCATGTTGTTTAGGAAGTGGATGCCACTCCTGCTTTCAAGTTTCCAAATATAATATTATTAAAGTGAACGTAAATTGATTTTGTTTGTTGATGAAGTAAACTATGGTTTTCTGAATATTTTCCTCTTTCCTGTTACTCTCAATTTCAGTGGCTCTTAAGCTTCAGATTCTACTTACATGAGCATTACTGGCAAGCTTACTAGAGTTTTTTACATAGTAGGTTTCATTTAGGGCCCACAATTTTCTAGTGAGTTCCTGGATGATCATTGGCACCGCCTGTGAGGAATCAGATCACATTTTGAGAACTGATTTAATGATATCACAAATACAGATAAATAGTCCACCATTATGTTATATTCATATGACAGACTACCTTTAAGACTCTTTATTTTAACATCTTATCATTAGTAATATGCACTACATAGAGTATTGCTGCACAGGGTTTGCTGATATTGTTGTTCCCAAATAGTCATTCACAAATGTTCCGTGTTATGACTTATTTATCAATAAAGCAGCCTGGTGTGGACTACAGGGTCAGTGTTGTATTGTTGTATCAGAAGTCCTAACAGAAAACTGAGGTAATGTTTAACTCAGACAATATCCAGCAATTGAAATTGGTGCACTGTGACTGCTGCTTCTGACAGTGGCTATGACTCCGGCACCTTCTTCATTGCAGATCTGGTCTGTTGTACCTGCATCAGTTGTTCAGGGTTCTCATACTGTAACAGCTACATTGCTTTTACTCTGTAATATGTCTGGCAAAAGAAGTCATTCCACTTAGGTTCTAATGTAAAAAAACGGTGGTAAGGAAGGCTATAGAAATATGGATATAAAGATAAAGGTCAGTGTTGTTGTTTTTGTTGTTATGTGTCATCGAGTCGCCTATGACCCATAGCAATCCTATGTACAGCAGCTCTGAATCTGTTCTGTCCTGAGCCAGTCTCAGTAATTCCGACACACCAACCCCCATTACCCCTGTCACTATGTCAATCCATCTCATGTGGGTCATCTTCCGCTGTGCTGTCCCTCCACCATTCTGAGCATGATGTCCTTCTCCAAGGACCAGTCTCACCTGGCCACATGCTCAAAGTATGTGAGACAGAGCTTCAAAATCTTAGCCTCTGAGGAGAAACTTGGTTTCATCCTCTTCAAGACAGACCTATTTGTTTCTTGTAAGTCCATGATATGTTCTTCTCCAGCACCACAATATGAAGGTGTCATTTCTTCTTCTGTCATCTTTAGTCATTGTCCAGCCTGAATTAGGTGCATCTTAATTTCTAGACTGATATCATTGCTTTTCAGTACTCTAGAGAGGTCCCTGTCAGGAGAATTTCCCAGTGCAGTTCATCTTTTTATTTCCTGACTGCTGGTGCTAAGAGAGTTGATTGTCAAGCCAAGCAAGCTGTAATTGTTAATAACCTCAATCTCTTCTCCATCTTCATGGTGCTGCCAGTTGGCCCAGTGGTGAGAATCTTTGTCTTCTTGATCTTGACTGTCAGTCCATATTGAAGAGTACAGTTCTTGACCTCCTGCAGCAAGTGCTTCAGATCTTCTTCCATTTCAACAGGCAGAGTTGTGTCATCTACGTAACATAGGTTGTTGTTGATGAGTCATTCTCCAATTCTGATGCCATATTCCACATCATAAAGCCCTGCTTCCCAGATGATCTATTCTGCATATAGATTGAAAATGTATGGAGACACACACTCCTTTCCTGATTTTGAATCTTGAAGTATTTCCCTGCTCTCTCTGAGGACTGCTCTTTGGTCCAAGTAAAGGTTTCACATAAGCTCAATCAAGTGTTCTGAGATTCCCATTTTTCTCAAAGTCAGCCACGATTTGTTATGATCTACACAGTCAAATGCCTTTGCATAGTCACACAGATAGACATTTCTCTGGTACCCTTTTCTTTCTGCCAAGATCCATCTGACACTGGCAATAATGTCTCTAGTGCCATGACCTCTTCTAAACCCAGCTTGAAGATCATTAAGCCCTATAATAATGAAGAAAAAAAAAGTTGACAAAAAACACGCATGAAAAAGGATTGTCTTGTTTCGATATTATTATAATCACTAAGAATACGACTTTGGAGGTAGTTGAAAAGCAATTGGAATAAAATAAACAGTTTTAACAAAGAAGAGGTAAGGACTAATCTATGAGATAGAGAAGCTATTGATGATTAAGATAGAAGACCAAAACCAGAAGAGGATTCCTATGAATTTAGGGATAATTCAAATGAAAGCACACAGACCTTGTGAAAAGCTGAAGGAATGGAAAGGAGAACATGACTTCAGGTGACCTAGTGCCACCAAAGGCTGTTTTCAGCCCTTCACATACAGATTTGGCTTTATAATTTGCATAGTGATGGAAAAGCAGAAAGTGTTAGTGTTGAAGCTGCCAAAAAAGTCAAGGATGTATTTGACAAGATATACGAAAAGAATATTGACCAGAAGAGATTTCAGAATTTTCCCGGTCTCCAAAGACAAATGTAAAGATATTCATGAAGGGCAATAATAACAAAAACTTTTTTTAAAAAAGGAGGGAGAAAAAAAGAAGGAAAGCTATTCTGTTTACTTTATGACTGGTTTATGACAAAGTTGGATGGGAAATCTCCCATATGATTAACTGCCTCTGAAAACCCTCTGGAGGGTCAGCAATGGGTTGGTTCCAACTCGACAGTACATAACAACATTCCACTTACTTCATGACTGATTTATGACAAAAATGTCAGAACAGGAACCCATTGTAAGTAGAAGACAACTTGTTTAACTTACCACTGTGTATTTAAGGAGAGCGCCACTCTTTTCTGTTCAATTGCTGTGAGTCAGAATCAGTTCTGAGGCACACAACAATTACGTATTTGTACATTAGAGTTCATTTTGAGGTTTTATTTATTAGCTTTAATGTCTCTTAATGTTTACTTTTTACTCCATTTCACTTTTACCACTTTTTAGGCACTTGCTGGGCTCATCACCGTTGTGTGGAGTGGTCATTGGGAGTGTGCCAGATGGAAGAACCATTATTGGTGAATGTGGACAAAGCTGTTGTCTCAGGGAGCACAGAAGTAAGTGAAAGTACCAAGTGTTTAAACTAGAGTTTTGTAGTATTTATTGTTCTATTGTGCCATTGATTCATAGTGACCTTCTTGGGTAGATCAGAACTGCCCTCTAGGGGTTTCCGCTGCTGTCACTGTTGCAGAGGCAAATTACTGCATCTGTTACAAATAGCCAACCTTTTAGTTAACAGCTGAGTACTTAATAACTGTGCTACCAGAGCTCCTTAACATTTAATCACCATAAAGGCTCACGTCCAAGAATTAATTAGAAGATGTTTATTAGAGTGCAGTCTTCTTCCATAAAGATTTACAGCTTCAGAAACCAAGTGGAGTATTGCTGTGCTTTGACTCTGTGACAGTAGGTTAAATGAAAGAGTTGTGCAAATAACTGTAATATAAATTCATTAACTCTTTAGTGTACATTTAAAATAGGTATGAAAATATTTTAAAATGGTAATTACTTCTTATACATCCATATGGTAACTCTTTAAGATGAGTTGGTTTGATGAGGATGCAAAATAAGAACACATTTTAACAGATCTGTATGTACTGTGCAGACTAGCTCTCTTTGATATTTTAAAAAATTAATGGTATTTCTTTTCAGTCAAGATGGCAGTTCAGTTCACCTTTTTGAGGTACTATTCCAATGTAATAAAATGCAGAGTCGACTCTCTTTTAAAGCTTTCAGCTTTCACTATGGCTTTCATATAATTTTTAAGTGAACACAGACATAAATGCAGTAGTGACCTTACATCTAAAAAAGGCCACAGACTTCATGAACTGAAATTTGTTTACTACGTGCAGATCTTTACCCACTCTCTTTAGACCTTTCTGTTTTGTTTTTGCCAAGTATATTGAGGAGAAAGTTTTCAGAAGGAAAATTAAAACTAGGTATTTAACCACAGAATTTATAAGAACTTTACTTGATTGACTGCAGATTGCAGAAAAGATGCCCAAAATTATAATTGAGACAAAGATTAGAATTCAAATATTTATTCAGTAAGTATAAGCTTTGTCCAGGTTATCAAAGTAAATCTTTATTTTACTTAGATGAGGAGCTATCACCTCAAGAAGAGTCGTACCAGAAAGAAATATGACACTACATTTCAATATACATACATTATAAAATTTTGAACACTACAGTATGCTTTAGTAGATTCTCTTGAACATATCTGAATACCTACATCAAGCCCATGGTGGATTAGTGGGGGCCATTTGTTTCCTGGATGGTTTCAGAAGTAGTTTTAGGTTATTTTGTGAAAGTGAAGAGTATTAGGTGAAGGTAGTGAACATTTTTCAGAATTTTTAAAAGAAAGTATGCCTTTAAGATAGGAAATTGTGCTCTTATGTTAACTGATTAATGGTATTTGGAGATGAGGGCTGTGCTGCTCCTGCAGAGGAATCGTAGAATCATAGGAGATGTCCCTGCTTTCTGACTTTCTGAATATTTGAAATAAGAAGAGAAATGATGAAATTAGAAGAGAACTACTGATAGCACTGCCAAATTAAATCAGTCAAAACTTATGGTAATGCCAGCCTTATATTGCTATATCTACTGTCCCCCCCAATTATTAAATGTACTCACTCTTTGCTTAGTGCCTTGGTTATGTTATAAAGACCAGCCTGTTATGCAAAAATGGAAGATGAATACATCAGCTCACAAAATAAAGGATGACTGTATCATTACTTAATTGCCAAATTACATTATTAGATAAACTGCCAAATCTCTGAAAATATAGCACACTCCACACATAAACTTAACCATCAACATAGAACCTTTGCATAGCTAGCATTACTCCTGCCATGCATGTTGGTAGTCATAAGGAGTTAGTATGAGCATTGGATACTTGATAGCAAGAACTTTTTTTTTGTTTGGCACTTAAAAAAAAGACCTAGCAGTTCCATTTACAAGATTCTATCCTGAAAATACATCTCCAGTAGTACAAAACTACATGTTATTAAAAAAATCATTAATCACAGTCATATTTCAAGGCTCACTGGTGGCTTAGTGGTAAAGAGTTGTGTTTCCAACTCAATGGCACATAGTTTGAATCTATCAGCTGCTCCTCTTGAAAACCCTTTGGAGGGTCAGCTGTGAATTAGTTCTGACTTGATGGTACATAATAACAAGAAATGGGTTGGGCTTTGTTGTTGTCATTGAGGGAAAAGAACACATATAGGAACACATTCTATTGAAAGGGATTTGGGCATACTTTGGTGGAAGGGATGCAGATTGGTACATATCTTCTGAAGGGAAAAGAGAAGGGCCTTTTGGTGCAATACCTTACAAAACTCCATGTGCTTTTACCTTTTGACCCTGCAGTCCCTCTTTTGGGAATCTATCCTGAAAATATGCCTCCAGTAGTACAAAAACACATGTGCTTTTAGAAAGTATTAATTGCCATCATTTTTTCAGGGAACTCTGGTGGCTTATTGGTAAGCACTTGTGTTGCCAACTCAGATGAGCAGTCTCTTCCTATGCAGTTTACATCCTCTGGAAACCCCCTGGAGGAGACTGTTGGTCTGATTTGACGGTGTACAACAACAAATTAATGTAATATTTGGAAACAATCTAAGTTCCATGGGAACTAGGAGAATGGTTGACAAAATTCTGATTCATCCACATAGTGGAGTGCTATGAAGATGTGAAAAAAGCACCAAAAAACAATGAGGAAGATTATATAAACTAATATGGAGTAGCTTCTCCAAGTCATTGCCATCCAGTTGAAACTGACGTCTAGTTGTTCAGAGGCTGTAAATCACATGGCAAGAGATTGCCCATCTTTATCCTGCAGAGCAGCTGACTGATTTGAAACCAGAGAGGTGCCTTTGACGTTAGCAGAGCAACTTCTTATACACTTCATCATCAGAGCTTGCTGTTGTATACTGTTAAATGAGTGGAGGGAAGAGGACCAAAACAAACCTAGAATCCAAAGAATCTTTTTGGTATGCTACTCTTCTTGCAAGAAAGAATGTGTTACAAGAAAATATACATAAATATGCTTGCTGTTGGAAAGACAATTTATTAAACTTTTTGAGATTGGTTACGCGCAGGTGTCGAGTGGGGTTAAGAAAGAATAAGAACAAGGCAGCTGGGATGAAGTGTCAGTGATACTTTCCAGAATATATCTTTGTATGTAGTTCTGAATCTGAGAGTCACAGAATTGCTTCACTTTTCCTAAAAGGAGGCAGTAAGAACCACCGTGATTATGGGAGGAATCTGAAACAGAATAACAAATAGTCAAACTGAAGGGGTGGGAAGGAAAAGAGCTGCAAATAGCATTATTGTTACTGAACATTGGAGAGCTAAAGACAAAAAGAACTCTATATCCCTGCTGTCATTTAGTTAGTAAACATGTTTCTCGTAAGGGTATTGGTTAGCAATTAAACTACTTAAGGTATGTACTCACTTCATTTACTCACTTGTGCTGAGTTATTTCAACTCTCAGCTTCTACCAAGGCTTCTGAGGCTGTAAATCTCAGTGAGGAGACTGTGCATCTTTCTCCTAGGAGAATGCTGGGAGATTAGACTTGTCAGAGACATTTAGCCTTTGGGTCATCAATGCAGCTCACTAAGGACTGTACCCCCAGACCTGTGTGCATACTAGAACTGAAAAAATACTATAGATCATGAGGGTCAGGTTTAAATATTTGCTCAGTTAACTATAGAAACATAGCTATATGTATTCACATTAGGTAGTATAGAAGAGTATCTGGTGACCTAATGAGTAAAGTGTTGCCCTGCCAACCCAAAGAAAAGTGGTTCGAATCCACCAGCTGCTCCTTAGGAGAAAGATGTGCAATCTCCTACAGCCTCTGAAAACCCGCTGTGGGTCAACTATGAGTTGGTTTTAACTTGAAAGCAGTGAGAGAGAAAAGGTATTATGCATGCTTCTATTTCCTTCTAGCTAAGAATATCCTGAAGCAGTGGTATCACAGTGGTAGTGAGCATACTGAGGGCCCAGATCTTGGTTTTTAATGGTTATTCTCTAATAACAGGGGTCAGGGTTTCTTAAGAAATTGGTCCAGAACAGCACTGGCAGAGCACAGAATGTGCCTGGATCGTTTTGTTACAGAAAGTAAGGAAGTGTTTGAAAAGATGAGAGCTTAGTTGAAACAAGAGAGTCAACCTGAAGGAGTGCCTAAGAGCCAGTGTTGAACCAGATTGAACAACAGTTAACAGCAGCCACAAAATGCTGGTATTGGATTTTAATGTTGGAGTGGGGGGAGAATATCCACAATGTAAAGAAATTGATACATTGTGAAAGCTGTTCCATCACTGCTCTGTTTAACACTATCCAGTAGTTTCTAATTTAGAGAAGAAAGCTAGCATTCTTATAATTTACAAGCCTACAGGATCTTCTCCCTCCCCATGGGGATCTTTCACACATCATTTCCTGCAAGTGTCCCCTTCTTTTATACCCTTCAACCTCATTGGAAATTTGTAGTTGCCATTCCTTTTCTGTTGAATATTCTTTTTAGATACTTGTACAACTTGCTCCTTCATTTCCATCATTATTTATTTAACTCAGTGCAGCTATTCTTTACTCCCTAAGATTGTTTCTCTTTCTAACATTACTGTTGCAAAAGTCTTGCTTTATTTTTCCTCTTGTCCATATAGTACCACTGAACATTGCATATATTTACTTACTAATCATATTTATTCTGTCTACCTTCACTAGAGTAGTAATGCCATTCATACAAGCAATTACTTTTCTGTTTTAGCATTCTTCAATAAATACTTGTAGACTTGAAAATAGCATTGAAGATCATTTATGGAATTGTTCATAGATAGTAAAGGGCCAAAGGTTGCTGGAGATCATCAGTATGGTGAACTTATACAAAATCTTGAGTTGCCAGTTTAAATGAAATGGAGGAAACCTCTACAGTTCTACTTAAGTGATGAGGGGAACGATGGTGAAAAGTTCTAATAGCACCAAAGGTTCCCTAGGAGCAAAGTACATAAACGTCCTGTTGAACTTAAAAGAGAAAAAATAAGTTTATATTCACCAGTGACAGTGTATTATGATCTTTAGCCCTGTTTTCGCAGAAAATAAACTTCTTTCTCTTCCAGATAACGGTGTCATTTCAACAATGAGAATGTTTATCTTTTTCAAGAGAAAGGTCTAACATTTTGAAAACAAATGCTTGTAACAATTTAAGGTGATACTTTTTTGCCTGAATAGTGAATTTATGTAAAAAACCTCTTATGTCTGCCATTAAAAAAAAAAATCTTTGACATGAAATTTCCTGATACACTCAAAATATTCTGACGTTTTCATGTATTTTGGACCCATTTGTTAAAATTATGAAAACACATTCTGATTCAAGAAAGGTAAAAAATTTAGCTATGTTTTGATAATTTTGATTGTGTTGAAAACTGTTTACTCATATGGTCTGGTAAGCACATAAACAGTGACACATTCCTTTTGTTTAGGTCTCCTAAAACCAGATACTAAACCGAGGTTAAAATCAAGTGTTTGAATCAGCAATCTTTTCTTTTTTTAAAAGGAAGACTATGCTTTAAAGATAGAAGAGAACATTTGTAAGCACCTGGAAGAGAAGCACAGAGGGAGAGTAACAGGACCTTTTGCTGGTTGTGCTTTTTCTATTTTAAGTTTTAATTGTGAATTGAGAGAAAAGGAAATTGTAAAAATGAGTGTTAACTGGCCTCCCTCATGTCATCTTATGGTCTTGGTCTATCCTTTGACTGAAAGTTAGCCTAGGGGTAAATTTTACCCCTTTCAGTGGATAGAAAAACTGTGGTACATCCACACAGTGCAATACTATGTAGCATTTAGAAACAATGGAATTCTGAAATATTACACAACATGGAGGGAGCTTTGAGGATATTATGCCAAGTGAAATATGTCAGTCAAAAAGGGACAAATACTGCACAACACTGACAAGACCAAAACATGACCTGATTTCGCTATTGTATTTCAGTGTCAGTTTTGTTGGGATCTAATTCTTGGCTGGTAGGTTTTTGTATCTTTTTTCTCCTTCAGAGTTTTTTTTAATATATTATTCCTCTGCTTTCTTATTTGAATGGTTTCTATTGAGAAATAAGAGCTTATTGATTCTTGTTGGTTCTCCTTCATGGTAGGGAATTCTGTATTTTTTTTCTGCATTCATTGTATTGCTGTTGTCTTTAATTTTGAAAAATGTTATTATGCTGTGTTTTAGTATTTTTTTGGGGGGGGAGGTCTTTCCTGTTAGGGGACAGTCAGCTTCTAGAATGTATATTGTCTCATTTTTCCTCATTGGGACATTGTCTTCCAACAAATCTTTCGTGATTTCTTCTGTGCTTTTCTGTTTGTGTCTTCCTATCCTTGTAATAACTAAGTTATTCCTCTTAATGCTTGTTCCACAGAAATGCTACGCTTTCTTGATTTTTTGTTTTCCTTTTTTCTGTTTGATGTTAAAAGATTTGTCCTCTGAGTAACTCTTCCATTTCTTCAGTTGCTCTTTTGTCCTCCCAATGTGTTATGTCCAAAATTTTAGGACATACTTATATAGTACAAAATTTCAAATTTTAATGCATATTTTTTATTTGGTGTTCTAGGGGTTTTTGGTGTGGTTGTTTTTATTTTTTCTCTTCTTCCAAATTTCTCTGAAGTTTTATCTATATTTTCCTCAATTTTAGTTGTAATTTTCTAAGACTTTTACTTAATCCATTGAAGATCACTAACTCTCAGTCTTTTAGTTCATCTTCATGATGTTCCAATAGCATTTCTTCCTCTGCAAGATTTTCTGTCTCTGTATTGTGGTCGCTTTCTATTTTTCCCTGACCCTTTGTTTTTATTTGTTTTAATAGCCTAAATCTATATGTTTGTCTTTAAGACATTATAATGATGTTGCCTTTGATTTATTTTGTTTTACTATTATCTGCCATTTGGCAGCAACATGATAGATGGAGAAGAGATTAAGATTGTTAACAGTTTCAGCTTGCTCGGTTCCACAGTCAAGACTCTTGGCACCAGCAGTAAGGAAATCAAAGGATGAGTTGCATTGGAAAAACCTGTCAGGGTTCTCTTCAGAGTGTGAAAAGCATGGATGTCAGTCTAGAGACAAAGATGCAGGCCATAGTCTTTGCAGTTACTTGGCCGTGCATCAGAGGGCTAGACAGTGACCAAGGATGACAGAAGAATTGACACCTTTGAGTTGTGGTGCTATAAAAGAGTAATCAGTATATCAAGGAATGCCAAGAGAATTAACAGGTCTGTCCTGGAGAGGGTGGAAGGATTTTGAGACTCATCTCACATACTTTAGGTGTGTATCCAGGAGGGACCAGAACTTGGACAAGAATATCATGCTTGGAAGGGTTGAGGAACAGTAGCGCAGGGAGGAAAGACTACAGATGAGGTACTTTTACACAGTAACTGGGGTAATGTGGGTAGGTGTGTCAGAGACAGTGAGATAGAGCAGGTTCAGAGCTGTTGTGCATATGATTAGACAGCACATAACAACAACAACAACAGTATATCTGATTGAGTTGTTTGAGTGTGTCATACTAATTGCAAATTTGGTAAATTCTTAGTACTTTGCCATCTGTTTTCTGTTGATTTATAATAGAAGTTAAAGACATGTATGCAGTGCTCCGCTACAGTTAGGCAGTCTGAAATTGATACAGTCAAGATACATTACTATCTGGTAATAGGATGGGAAAGTTGAAATTAGAAAAGAAGGATTGGAACTTGAAGAATAGAGTTTTGATGATAGCAATAAAGCCAAACATCACATGATGATAATGTTGTATGATCAATGGCTTTTTAACTGCAGATATATTTTTTTAAAAAACTTAAGCAGCTGCTATCAGTATGGACCTTGCTTGATGGTATACACATGATCGAATTGACTATACCTCTAGAAAGAGAGAGTGAACACCCTCAACATTATCAGTCCAAATAAGACCAGAGCCAATTGTTCATTGGTACTGAGTTAAAGTCCAAGAGAACCAAATACAACCTTGATTATATTCCACCGGAATTTAGAGACCACACCTAGGAATAGATAGGATACACAGAATACTAACAACTGGAGACTAATGACTGGAGTTGTGGCTTTCATGGGTACAACATAGAATCATGCGGGGAGCATCAAAAGGAGAAGATAGAAAAAATACACAGTAACTATACCAAAAAGAGTTTGTTGAAGCTCTTGTATTTGAGTAGTTAGCATAAGATCAAGAACCAGTGATACTGATGGAAACATTCCTGAGTGCACTGAGGCCTTTGACCAAAAATAAGGCTCCAAGAATTGTTAAAATTCTGACTGATGTATTTCAGCAAAGTAATATAGCTCTGGATATGGTCATTAATGTCACAGAAATATGGCAAATTTCTTATGCCAAGAAAGTTGGAAGACATAGTCTTGCCAACCTAATAGAGATCAACATTTGTGCCTATTTAACAAACTATCCAACAGCAGGTAGAAATTGTAAAACAGTATCGTTAATAATCACACATAAGTAAAAGTGAACGTAATAATTTAAATATGATTTACTGATAACTTTAAAATGGTTGGAGCAGTACCTAGACAGAGAGCTATAGAAATTCAGACTAGATTCAGGATGAGAGATATCATTGTTGATGCTGGTGGATCTTGGCTGGAAGCAGAGAATACTGGAAACGTGTTGCTAGGTCTCATTACGTTGACTGTGACTCATAGCAGGCCTGTGAACAATAGATCTGAACCTTGCACCAACCTCACCATTTCTGTCCTTCTCAAGCCCTTTGTGGTAGTCACAGTGTCAGCCCATGTTGTTTAGGTTCATCCTCTCTTCCTCTGACCCTTTGCCTTTCCTCCAACTTGTTATCTCTTACTAGCAAGTAGTTGAGAATATGACCAAAGTGAGTGAGGTGAATTTTCACCACACTTGCCTCCAGAGAAAACTGTGGTTGCACTTTTTTCAATGAAAGCCTTGTTTGTTCTTTAGGCAATACATGTTATACTCAGTACTCTTTGCCAGTACTACAGTTCACAGACCATTTGTTGTTGTTCATCTTCCTTATTCATTGACCAATTTTCACATGGATAGAGAACAGTTGAAAAGACCATGACTTGGATCAGCAGGTGC